TATATATATATATATTCTTAGAGATTTTAATAATAATAAAAACTAAAACAAACAAATAAAAATAAAAGGAAGAAATTAAAAAGTAATCCGCTTGTAATTACGTATGTGGTTATCAATAATTTACAGTATCCCCTGTGAATTGGAGAGCGTAATTACTCTCTACCAATTACACTCAATTACGTGTTGATCAAGTAATTACATGGTCAATCAAACATGTCATACATTGTAATTACACTCAATTACACCAAATTCAATTACTAGGGTGGTTTTCCAAAGAGACTTAAGTCATCAAGTAATTGAAATTGGTGTAATTATTGGGGTAGTAATTACCAACCTAGTAATTACATTGATCTGTTTGTTTGCAACAGTGCAATTACTAGTGTACGGTTTGGTGGCATAAGGGTAATCATAAGGCTATATTGATTTTTAAAAATAAAAATTAATTATCTAAAATTAAAAATTTATAGACAAATAAGGGTCTTTATAAATGATATTAACTCAATTGAATATAAGACTTATACAGAATGAGACCTTCATGGCCCCCACCATCAAGGAAGAGGGAAAGCAGGAACTGGAAGAGGTAATATCCTCGCTCAAATTGGAAATCAAAGGTTGATAGCAGCAAAAATTGCTTCTACAAATGGTCTTTATACAGACTATCCAATGTACAAGGAATTTTTGAATTTTATGCAGTCATATTCCACAGTTCTTACAGTTGAAGAGAACATAGAATTTTTTTATCAAAATGATAAAAAAAGAAGTTATACTTCTTCTTGAACAAAGTGATTTGCGATGGAGAGATAACCCATGGCAAATAATGCATAGATATCTTGAATCAATTTATTATACCACACCTGCTTATAAGTACAGAATGCATTATGAAATGATACACTCAGCAACATGGTCTGGTGAATTCCAACATTTCTACCTGGCCAATACTAAAAAAGTTTATAACTTTTCAAAATCATAATAAAAAGAGTTATGGCTCCAAAAGAATGAGGAATGAGCCCATTAAAAGAAAGGGATTATATCCATCCAGAGCAGAAAGTGGCAGTAAAATATAATTATTGGGACTACATGGATAGCTTTAATAAAGCTTTATTATATGAAAATGCTAATAAAAAGCATTCTTGATTTATAAAATTATGCTCGCATGTTTTTAACCAACATATTCCAAATTGATTTTGTCAATGGTGGACTTTAAATGGTCCCTTGGTAAAAATATTATCAGAACCTTACAAAGGATTATATTCTGAATGGGTTGATATCTCCCCTAAACTCATAAGTTTAGAAAAAGATAATATATTTTTTGAGGGAATGTCGTTAATGCACTTTTTTTTATAGAATTCTCAATCCCTTGGATCATGAAATGGTCTATAGAGGTTAATAGTAACCTTGAAGGATTCCCATGTTTGCAAAGAACTTTTTATACAAAGTTTTGAAATAAATTAATTCAAAAGGACCCTGAAGGAAAAATTCATGGTCAAGAAATAATAGATTTAATAAATACAATGGTAAATAAATATCAAAGCACGGAGAGATCAAAATCACAGATGGATGATCTCAATCCATTCAAGCAGATTGCAAGAAAACTTCAGATGAAGAAAGGATTAATATCCAAATTAGAAGCAATAGCTTTATACATGGAGGAAGTAAAAAGAGATTTAATGAGAAATCTCGACATAGATGTAAGGGATGATGTATCCATGACATCAGCTAGCCACACCAATGATGATGAAGAATTATGCATGGCAGGAGAAGCACAAAGTGCTAATAGCAACGAAGAGATTGATATCAATACTCTTCTCCAACAACTTCAAGACCAAGTGAAAGAATCTTCCAACAACACTCCCGACAAGGACAAAGGAAAAGGAAATGTGTAAAATGAAGAAGGTCCCACAAACAAAATAATTGGGGTAATAAAACAAAAAACTTTAACAAAGTTGAATTAGGGCCATGATAATATGTCGGCCACATTTTTAGTGGAAAGACCATGTTTGTTTGTCGGTCTTATCTTTTTCTTATTGGCCATTGTAAGTTGTGTAGGCCATCTTATCTTATCATTTTAGATTTTCTGATCTCTATATAAAGAGACGAAATTTCCTTTAGTGAGGCAAGTCTCGGAACCCCCTCTTTCTCTCTCTAGTCTTTTATTACTTCCTTTTGTAAATCTTGCAGTTTGTTTAATAATAAAATCCTTCAGTTTGGTATATACTTCAAAAATCTTGAGCAGTCCTACTACTACCTGATTTAATTTTTTAGTATTTTTACATTTGTGCTCCAGCCTAAATGATAGGCTAGGTTATTTGTGTTGAACTATAACATACTAAGTTACTATAAGAAATGGCGATTATGTCTATTGTTACAGCATATTGGACAGTTATACTAAGGTTAAGTTAAAATAATTCAGACAGAATATTGAAAGGTTGTCGAATAAGTCTGTTGGATTACCCACTAGCCTAATGCTATGAATGTATCCTCTAAGAGTCTTCCTAACTCTTTCAGCAAAGAGGACCAATAATCCATCTGTAAACTTGGATTTCCAATGAGAGCTATTACACTCTGGTAACTCCATAACTCTGCTTAGAAAAACATCTTTATAAAATTTAAAAGATGTGGGAGTTTTACACCTAAAATTTTGGAGCATAGTTCTTATGGTCTCGTCATTATCAAACCATCTTCCTGAGAAATGTTCTATGATATTAAGAACAAGGGTATTAATCCTTCTTGTACACAGGCACTTGTGAGTTTTCCATAGGTAATTGCATAAAATTCAAAAATTCCTTGTACATTGGATGGTCTGTATTAAGACCATTTGTAGAAGCAATATTTGTTGCTACCAGCCTTTGATTTCCAATTTGAGCGAGGATATTACCTCTTCCAGTTCTTGCTTTCCCTCTTCCCTTCCTTGAGGGTGGGGGCCATGAAGGTCTCATCTTGTCGTTAAGATGAAAAATTAGTTTAAGTATTCCCTTGTAAGAAAATCAAGCAAACTATTATATGAACCCTTTTTATAATGAATATCAAAATCAAATGGGGATAAAAAAAGCCTGCCATCTAGCAAACATTTATTTTGAAACATCATGTTTATAGTCTTTATTCAACATGAATTTAGCATCCTGGCAATCTGTTTTTATTAAGAATTTTTGAATATATAAGTCTCCCTGAAATTTTAAAACACTCTTCACAATAGCCAAAATTTCTTTTGCTATAGTGGCATAGTTTTTCTGACTACTATTCCATTTGTCAAAATAAAATTGAATAATGTAATCTTGTTTATTGTCAGGACCAGAATATTGTGTATACCCTTGTTCTTTAGAAGCAAATTCAATACTTCTGTTTATAGGACTAATTTTTTCCTTTTCAATATAATGACCCAAAAATCTAACATTTGTTTGAAACAGTGCCATTTTTGGACTAGAAATAACCAATCCGTTTTGAATAATGATTTTGTAAAAATAAATCTAAATGTTTAAAATGTGTTTTCATAGTTTTGAAAAATACTAAGATATCATCTACGTAAACAATTATAAAATTGCTATAAGGTATGAGAATATCATTCATAATTTTTTGAAATTCTGATGGAGCGTTTTTCAAGCCAAAAGGCATAACATTCCATTCGAACTGTCCCATAGCAATATTAAAAGCAGCTTTATACCTGTTTGATTCAGTAATCTGAATCTGCCAATAGCCTGATTTTAAATCAAATTTAGAAAAAATAATTGCATCATAAACTCTATCAAGCAGAGCATTCTATGTACCGTTGTATAAATATGTCTATATGTATAGCCATCTATGTTCCATTCGTAGATTTCCTTTCCATTATAACTATTAGTTATAATGTGTTCATGTTCTTCTAAAAGCACATCCTGAGGAGAGAATGCTTATGTACAGTACTATCTGTAAGGTAAATTATTAGGGATATGATATCTAATCCATTTCAGATCTTTATTAAGGGGTTTATAATTAATAACCAGCCTAGGGGCACCTCTTTCCTGTTCAGCATGTTTATTAACATAAAAGGTTGTACAAGACCAAGGTGACTTAGAATGCCTTATTAAGCCTTTTTGAAGTAAAATTTCTTTTTTGCAATAACTAGTATATGTACTCGCGCGTTACGCGATCATTTAATAAACATAATCGTAAATAATGATTTATTGACAATTTTAAAATTCAACTGAATTGATATCATAAAGTTTGTATGAGAGTATGTTAGCATTTAGCACCTTGATAAGTTATAATAGAATACTTATGAAAACAAAGAAATATATAATTATAAGTTCAGTTCATTGTCTAAATTTGTTAATAATTTTTGAAAATTTTATTTTATTTATTTATATTTTGAATTATTCAAAATCAGAAATATTCTCACCCCTAATATCCATATTATCCTCTTGTTAGAATAATAAAGATATATGAAAAATTATTTGTTAGATTAAAATAAAATATAACTAAGAAAGTCCTACAATTAGGATAAAGCTAGTCATAAAACTAAAAAGCTTTGATTACT